CTCAGACTGCTCCATTCTAGGGGTGAAATTCAATATACTGGCGAACTTGCTCATAGATTGATTAACACTATCTTTTACTAGTTTCAGGATATCATCAAATTTTGGCTCGATACCCTCATCCTCCATATGGGAGCTCATCTTCACCCACTTCCTTTGCAGTCGAGTAGGTAGGCGTCTTGCTATTACTTCTAGTATAAAACTCGAGTTGAGGTCACTCATGCGATTCATAGAAATCAAGGTATTCTTATAAGTCATAAGATTATCTAAAATCTCAGTAAGTGCCTTGGAATCATCTTGAAGTTGACTTCCGTTACCTTTGACAGCTTCGTATACGTTCCTTACAATCATTGAAGGTCTTCCAAACCTTTGACGTAATATGCTCATAGCCTCATTGTAGCCCTCTTTCGGCTTCATAAACTTACAGCACTGTATAGCTCTTGCAGCAATTCCAGTGCAATACCTCATCAGATAGATTAACTTCATTTCATCAGTTAATGAAAAGCCACTCGGCATGATCTCAAACTACTTTACAAATTGTAAATAATCAGCCGGGTTTCCATCGAAACACCGTGGTTCAAATTTAGGGAGTTTGATGTTCTTATAATCCCTGAACGGTGAAACAGTAACATCAACCATGTCATGCTTAACATCAGACACATCGTTACAATTAACAGACAAGTCACCATGACTTACTTTCCTGTTTGCATCCAAGACGCTGTGTCCCTTCTTTGACCCAGGCATTGTTTAACTTGACCCAATTCCAAAAACGTTCCAGATATTGCTTGTTCAAAGAGGACTTGACCGGCACCAGGAAAGATGAACGGTGACTATCCAAACTGTCACCAGCGGTCCAAAACCGTCGAAAACTGACTTCATTTTCAGAAACTGTCAGCCACGTCTCGTAAACCGTTAATGCCCAGCTCTTGCTACGCTCGGGCTCACGCTGTTCCTTGATGTTTCTCAGAAACGCTTAGTAATAACGGACGCAAAACCAAAACACCGATTGGCTACTCGAGAATTCTTTATTGTAACACCAACATATATAACTTGAAAATTAAGCTTTAACTAAGGTCTATGAACAAATATTACAATAATAAATCACAATATTACTTCTGACAGTTTTGGCCTGACTTCTTTCTGAACAGCGACCGATGAGACGATGACTGGTGTATTGATGTCTCCGCGAACATTGGGGAAGTTGGTTTTGAGCAAACAACCATGAATTGATCCTTCAATCTTCAACTGCATTGACAACATTATTGAACATATTATTTATGTCTGTAAGCTTGCGTCGCTGGTGCACAAACAAATTAGGACGTATCTTTATTATAATGCTGAACACCAAACCCATGTCTGAAGCGAACGTTGCCGAGATTCTCACTCAGCTTACAGTTCATCTTCCTCTCCAGTCTGACTTCTGAAGCTCTGCTTTATGCCTGACATAAGAAATAGTATTTTGAAGCCAACAGTGAACAATTTTCGCCGTAAATTTGGGCAGATGACGACTTTATAATTTGTTAATTTTGGATGGCGTATTTCGCAAGTATTAGCCCTCAGTCGGGCCCAGGTCGGATCCACGAATCAAACGTGCCCTTTTCATGTAAATTTATGTTTATATGAAAATACAAATTATTATTATTATCAAGTAGAAATGGCAACATATAATCTTTTGAAACATTTGAGGTATATACGTAAGGAATATCCGTACGGGAAATTTAGTGGCCGGTAACCTACCAGTCAAACGGGATCCCCTATCAATTTGCTCGGTCGCCGTACTAGAAAAGTGTAAAATGGTGATTCATTGGGAGAGATCTCTTTCGCACTAAGGGCTTGGACTAAAAATGGCGTTCGACACGGTTTGCGGTGTACGCTAGGCCACCAAGAAAATGGTGTTCAGGCCACAAACGGCACTGTGAGTGTGCCATGAATCCAAGGAACAACTTTTGATGAACATCTCAGGAAGAAGAGTCTATTTGGTATGACAATAGCTGGTAACTGGAGTAATGCGTCTAGAACTTCGTTTAGTGCAGACTCAATTCTGTCAGCCAAGTTAGTAATTTATTCAACATGCTAGGTGGCTCGCCATCATGGCACACTTTGAAATGTTTATATTAGATGGCTAGAGGCAATCGACAGCAAGCCTTGGACCTGGAGTCCGTGCTTGTAGGCAGTAGTAAGCAAGGCATATCTGCAATCCTAGAGAAACTCACATCTATTCCTATATCAGCAATTCACAGTGCTCCATGAAGGCGAAATACATGGCGGGGTGGCCACATTGCTAACTTAACTGACAGAATTCAGTCTGCTCCAAACAAGAGGACAAGATAGATGACCCTGGTCACTACACTAGTGTCTGGTCAGAGTATCTAATTCACTCTTACAGGAGGTCGGTCATAAGGCTGAATAGCACAGTGGTAATGTCTCTGACTGTAGCACTTGGTGGCACCGGTTTTAGCCTCAGAAGAGACACAAGTTCCTTTAGGAATGCAGATACGCCTTACCGACCGATGAGTGACAACAAGCACAAGAACAAGGTTCAAGGCTTCCTGCTGATTGCCTACAACCACCTGACATTGACAAAGAGATTCTCCATTTAACGAGAGATATCTCTGCAGTGGGTGGTATTATTATTATTTAGCTGTTTACCCGCTTGTGAACACTAAACCGTGTGTACATCTTTCTACATGCTACTGTGGATGTGGATCTGAAGAACCTCTCAGAGGTGTCTTCTTCAGACTCTGCATCCTGGACTTGAAAATGCAGAACCCTATTGCATTAGTCGCCGCCACTCGCGTGTATAATCTAATAATTAATAAAAAGTGAGTCAGTTGAACGCTCACGTTACCGTGGGCTTGGTTTTGTTTTGGTTTTCAATGGTCTCAAGCATTTTGCACACAATCTCTACAAAAAATATCATTAGATTTCCATGCGTATGATTTTACAAATTACGCATATGGCTTTCACCCATTTGTGAGCAATCTTCGAGGGATTTAAAGGGTGATTAGAAAGATGAAGAGACAGCACGAAGCAAAAAACTGTAGGGCACCTAAAAATAAGGGACATAGACGAGTAAGGACTTGTTATTTCATGTGCCCAAAATATATTATGACTAAAGTTTCTGATTTGTGAAGTATGCACCTAACCATGGAGTATGCCCCAGGTGTGGGATCTCTGGGCCGCAGGAAAGATGTTAGGACGGTCTCGTGGTACGTTATGGGAAGAGCGTCGTAAACGTACACTGAAAATACTGAATCGGCATACAGAAGAATGAATGGTGGTAATGAATTTCTAGAAACACAAAATAAGATTGCCTACTAGTTTTGAACATATTGGCAACCATATTTAAGCTATATTTCACTCCAACAACATATCTAATGAAAATACCTAGCGCATTTGCGATCACACAACAAAATTCATTCACGTGCCATCTATTTGTTGGGCTGTTTTTGTTAGAGCAAATGAACCTTACCAAGTTTTAGTTTTCTCAGTGATCCACCTTTCCATTTTCCGCGTTCATCCAGGCCTGTCTATTTTTCTCATAGTTCACCTGGATGAAGGGCTGTTCTAGCAGGCAAATGTTAGTGACGATTGGTTAGAAAGACACAATGCTTCCAGGATCAGCAAACCGAAATACTGGGCACTACGTGGGTGGAACCACTGAGTTACTTATCAGTGAATTGGCGTGAAATCTTGCGGTGAGTTTGCCCAAAAGATAGTCTACTAAATATTTCAGTATCCAGTCAGCATAGAAACAATCTCAACAGTCTCATTTTTGTCAATTATTTGTAATCTTTACAGACTACCTTCCGCGACCAGTGAAGTAAACCATCTCACCATTTATGAAGAGATTAGGGAGATGATCGATGTTTTGCCTCTTGTAGCATATTATTCTTAGTGTTACTCCGCGTACGTGGTTTCTATTAAAGAACTGTAAGAGACCAAGTATAGACCTAGTTTATGCGAAAAACTAACTCTTCATTAATTGAAGAATATGCCGCTGAGAGAATAGTGTGATTAACCAAATAGACTGCGAACTAAACTTGCCCAGGTTGGACTTTGGGAAGTGATGTGGGTAACTGAAACGCGAAAAGGTTTCCTTCTAGATTTAGTTATGCAAAACTAGGCAATGAACACGGCGAGACAAGCAACAACAGCATTTTGGCTCTCTGGATAAATGTGCAGTCAGGATGCCGAGTGAAGATGCATGTTTGGTGTTTAGGCTACAGAGGAATCAACGAGCATGGAGAATACAATGGTTCACTGATATTTTCCTTCAGCCTACCATGTGCTTGTTCGACGTCAATAAGAAAGCAGTAAGTAAGCGTAATTATAACGACAACTAAATAGTCCAAAACAGGAAGAATATCAGGGGTTCAGCTGAGCTGTATGCTTAACTAACTAGAGATAGCGCACAAACAGCCGCGTGAGAAATGGTAAGGCTGTTCGACCAGATACAGCTAAGCTGGCAATCAAGATGGTGAAGGGTGAGTGACGCAATTTCAGGGGGCCATTTACCACCACATGCTCATTCTAACACATATTTCACGATACCATGTCAAATAGCAAGTGAACTTGGTGTGGTGTCTTCGGCTTGACAAGACCATAAAGGCAATTTCCAACTTCAGACAACTGATTTCTAGGGGAGACTTTATCTTCACAGGCTAATTCGGGCAATACACCTAAGATATATTAAACACTCGATAAGCACCATTCATTTCGGCCTACATAATATCCAGAAAGTGCCTTTCGGTAATAACTAATTTGTTTCTTCTAGAAGGATGATGTTTATCTTCAGTTTCAGGACATCCAAATCAAGAAAATATGGATTATTGTTTTTCAGTTTTAAACAGCTGCTAGAAGCTTCAAAGTGAAGAACAGTAGCTTCTATTTAAATAATGTAGAAAAAAACCATTAAAGTCACACTTAATGACTTGGATACTAGATTTGTTGGCAGAAAATAACTTTGAATGAGTAGATGAAAATGATAGCATATACGCGGGAATTCATAGCGATTGCTATGGTTACGGTCAATGAGTTTTTAGTTAAATTGAAGTCGTTGATGGGATTGGCAAACTTTTATGGGATTTTGCAAAAGTTGATAATTCAAAAATTTTATAGGAATTCTTCAGTGTTTTTGTGAACTGTTAAAATGACATAATAACGTGGTAGGGAAAGTATGTTACTGTTTATAGAAGCACACATTTTTATAATGTCCAGATCCAATAAACCTCTGTTTCACTGTTATATTATTCCATCATCCCCCTTATGTATTTGTGCCCATCATATCCACTTCGAATTTATTTTTTGGCGAAGTTAAAGTATCATGTCTATGCTTACGTCTGTCCAAAGTTCACTGTGCAGAACCATTTAGATTTAGGGGAGCTACAAAAGATCATTCTGAATCACAATATACCTGCCCTTGTGAGTCTGGGGAGAGTATGACAATAAGCCTGTTGTCATACAACTTTATAAGAGATAAATTTTGCTATAAATGTAGTTCATGCTACAAGAGAAACTAATTGTGAGGGTAGATACAGGATTCTATTTTTTTCACTGCGCTTTTTTCTGTTATGGTTTGGGAAGTAGGTTAAAGAATAGAGTTGTACATGCAGTGCTCACATATCGTCATATTTTATCAGTGAAACATTTGATTCCTTAGCTAAAGCAACCTCCACTTTGAGGTATCTTAGATGGAATGAAATGTTTCTTACATATCCAGTCGGAGAGATTTAGATTTAATTCGGTATACCATTTATAAATGCTCTGTTGGATGCTGCTGTATGTCTGCACTGCGTGAATGTAATGAATCAATCGGATTTCATATGTTTTCAAAGCAAAATAAGCTTCACTTTATATTTTTGTGCTATAAGGAAACAGTAGATGAACTTTTTGTTATCTAAGTAACTCTTTCATCTTCCTGACGCCTGTTTATTTTCCGTAGTTGACCAAAATATGTTCACCTCGAAGTATTTAATAGCACAGCTATATTTCTTGTAGCATTACAGTGCTTGTATATTCAGTTGTTTGAAATTCATTCAAAAATTCAGAATGCTCAGCAGTATCTTAAGGTGGACAACAAAATTTACTGTAATTTTTGTAACTTGTCGTTGCATTCATAAGCGAGCATAGGCAAATCAGTATTAAAAGACATTACTGCTTTGTGATAAATTATAACTATTATTGGACCGCATTCATTCTTACTACATTCCTAATATTTTACTATTGTAGTCCACATCGTCAGGTGCAACCGCAAGCCATTTACGACGCAATAATATGGTCTTAAATAGGTTACAGTGAAAAAGTTATATTCGAAATATACTCGCTTATTACGCTTTATATGTTATATTACTTCTGCCTGAGTTTTGGTATTGTTTCCGTTTATTCATTATTATTCGGTAGGCTTTTTCAGTCCGTCAAAAGTCTTGCTTAGTCTCCCTTAGGCAAAGCAGTTACCATAAACTTGAGAAAAATGGCAAAAACTCTGTGATTGCCTTATTTTCCTGGAATCTGCATTCTTTTATCTCCTGTGTGACTCAATGGTTATCATAATTAATACTCTACATAGTTATAATGTACCTAAATAATTGCATGCGATTAAGAAGGAAAATCTAAGTGGTTTCATGTATACAATTGTTTGTTCTGCCATGTTCATACTGATACAGGAATCACATTTTTCAGTAGAAATAATGTCTTTTCACTTGTTTCTTTCAACATCACTTTACTTATCATCATAGTTTTTGCTTCGTTTGGAAATATTTGAAGCTTACAAAGTTGCATGGAAGTTTCACGTTTCGTATTTCTAAAAGCGACAGTAACAATACGGAAGAAATACTTGAATTATAAAAAATATGTGAATGACCAAATCACTAGTCTTCACGTAAAAAAATCTTAATCTACTTTCACAATAACGATCTAACCACAGATTTTGCTGAAGCATCTACAAGGAAAGTTCATGAAATTTCATTGAACCAGTTTTGTATATATAAACTTTGCCTCCCGGTAAGAATAAGACTTTTAACACGGTTGTAAAGTATATAATTACTTTCTAGGTAAGTTTGCCTGATATAGTACAAGTTACTGATCATGATTATCTCAAACCACTTACATTTAGTGGCATTCTGTTACTGTGTTTTATCAAATAAAATTATTTAATATTGGACTTTGCTTTTTAACTTGAGTTCTTCTTTACTAATCTTATTTATATTAAAATAACCTATTTATTTGTCTTCCTAACAGACAAACATCAGCATTCATTCCTAGCGATGACTTGAGAGGATATGAATAACTGATTCAGTTTTCACAGAAATGAGCAGTCAAAGTCTATTGGAAAATTTTATCAACAACTATGAAATAAAATTAAAAGAGACATATAGGTATTATAAAGAAAAATGAAACCCCTGTCTACTGATATTTCTATTTGTAGAAATTGTGATACACATCGTCTAAGTGAATATAATGCTGCCGTCAAAATTCAGGCTTGGTTTCGTGGTATCCGAATTCGATGTTATTTGAAGTGAGTTACGTAGAATAATCTGAACAGCGAAATTCTGTCCATGATCTGTGCTTTCATTTAATTTGACTTATTAACTGACTTTTACCTTAATTTTACTTAAAACGGATATGTCATTGGAGGTATACTTTGAGATGAGGTATTAGGATCAGATTTGTATAGAGAAAATTGATACTGACATTTCATGACTGTCACAGTAGCACAGATATGTTGTCTCTGCATTAAGAAGGAAGACTGTGAATTCTGTTTTATGTCATTTCTGTCTAAATAAATGGACCCAGTAGTCCAGTGAAGTAGTGGGTTCTCTTGTTTCCCTTTAGAGGTAATTCATAGGTCTATAGTTAATGAGTATAATAAAAATAATTGGTGGTAACGTGAATTTGTACACCTATCCTTGATATGATATTTCGACAGTTATTGCATAAACCTGTCTTTAAGGCCCAAACAACAAAAGAAAGTAGAAAATTATGGCGAATAACACTGATTACTTATAAGTAATGCTAATAGTGATATTGAGAAGTTATAATATGTTCTACGACTAACAATTTTTATCATATTATTCATGCTTTCTATACTCAGCGGGACAGAGGGCTTCACTGAAACATCCCAGTTGCATTCAGTTCTTTACAATGACCTTTAACTTGTCTCATGACTACCTATAAGCTTTCAATTTCGACTCACCTAATCATTTGCACGTCGACCATGCATATGGTCCGGGTTCGATCCCCGGCCGGCGCACTCCTTTACCTCACTGAACCAGAAATAATGCTGGTAAAGAGGAAAGGTTGGGCATGAGGCTAGCAACCCCATCCTGTAAAAATTAAACACTGCTACAGAAACTTCAAGCCACTAGCTTGGAGCCCTATGTTCCACTGGGAACGTGAAGGAAAAAAAAATCCTTTGCACGTCACCCCCTTAGCCATGCCCGATCCATTGGTTCCCATTATCTCCCATTCGGTGGCCTGGTGTGCAATGTCGGTGTATCTGCATTTCCTCTTGCATAGTTGCTAGGTGATCGGTTTTCGGTTGCAATTTTTGGAGTAATGAATGCCTGAATAGCTTTGACATCTTTATCCGTGACATCTGTAGCTGGAACCATGACGATCAGATAAGTAAAGGAAACAAATTCATCTGGATTTTTCCAGTTGTTGATGGATGGTTGTTGTTGTTGCTTCTGCCATCTCTATGTCCCGTCCTTACGGTCTCTTTTACCAACATTTTGGTTTTCGCTCTCATGTTCACTAAAGTCGATGGGTTGGTCTTGTGTGTTTCTAGAGGGGGACATCCCATCTGGTCCTCCTGCTTTCCTGGCTATCGGTAACACTATGGCGTTGAGTGAAGACTTCTGCTTTCGTCAAATAATGAGTGATAAATAGTACTTCCATGTCTACTGGTGGCATTTCATAAGGGTTCCAAGTGGTGGTCGATTAGAGAGTCTTTTGAAGTGATCAATCCAGGGTTCACTCTATCCCACTTCTTTGGGTCTCCTTCACCATCTTCAAGTGGCTTCATCTGTGTTGCTCAGTTCCAGGATGGAGACATGGATGTTCTACATAGTTTAGTGAGGTCTGTATTACCTGCAGTCTGTTCCACTTCGGTTACAAGTGTTTCGTGACAGTGTCTTTTATCTTTCCTGACATTACTCTCTATTTCTTCGTCCAGTTAATACTGAACTTAACATCTTTCGTTGCTCATTACCACACTGATTTATCTTCTGTTTCACTGTCCCTCTCCTTTTTATTAGCTTCCATATACCCATAGAGAATCGTTTCTTATCCTGTTTGTTCTTCCTGTGTAAGATAACTATATCGCCTTCAAGGAGTTCCAGGTTTCCACGGTTACTTGATTTTTCTGAACGTTTTCTGGAAACTGCAGTGAAGTTGTCCTTTGTAACTTTATCCCACAGTTCCTGAGTGTTAAACACGAATTTCTGTCTATTCCTAGCTGCTAAGAAGAGTTTTTACTTGATATTCAAGTTTCCTCATGATACCTAGTTTTCCGGGCCTGAATATGCTCCACTTCTCGACCTAGTGTACAGAAGGCGGCATCTCTACTTTCTTGAGACTATAATGAAGTTGGTTTGACTTTTCATTTTTGTGTCAGGTGCAACCCATGTTGTCTTGCAGATACTCTTGTGCTTGTACACGCTGTCATAAATCACCAAATAATTAGAGTCTCAGTGTGAGAAGTTCTGTGTCCTCGTCACTTCACCGAGTGATTGCATCTCTACCAATGATGAGTTCTGTTACTGTTTCAAGTGATATCGAACGGCAAGCTGTAAAGTAGAACCAGAATGGGACGAGGCAGGATGCGTATCCAAGTGCTGCGCGGAGGATATCACGTGCAAATGAAATGGAAACTTGTGGACATTCATAATGATGTCTGAACATGATTATGAAGAACGTAGTTTAGTGTATATCTCGAGTTCTATTTTCCATTTGAAACCCATAAGATGATCACTATATATATATATATATATATATATATATATATATATATATATATATATATATATATAACAGTATGGACCGTTTCGGAATTAACTCATTGGCTTTTCATACTGACCACAGACAGTAAACGAGATCAAACAAAGAGTGAATTTGTACATGTTTCGATGAAGAGTTCACGAGGGTGGGAGTGAATAGTAAAGTGAGAATACGATATAGACAAACAATTAGGAAAATTTAGAAATTCAATAGTGAATTCAACCCAGTAAGTGAAAATCAAAATTAGATGTGATGTTACGCAACATGGTAGGGAACAAAAACACATAAACAAAATAATTACGATTGCCGGGGTGGTGGGAGACTTATCATGCTATTTTTCTGCATAGAGAGGCTGGGTTGGGATCTTCTGATAGTGATTGCTTCTGTGAAATGGTTTTCTTTCCATAAGGGCTACTTTAAAAGTTTGACTAATATCCGCTGTATGTCTACTGACAATCAGGTGTCTGGCAGTTGGAATTAAGAACACTTTACTGCCTTTTATTTATAGGAATTTATGGATATGCTCAGAAAATTCAGTAGACGTTGTGCTCTCAATTCTTCCTTTGTAAAGACTATTGGAAGTGCAAATGAATTTGGAGTTTACATCAACAAGATATTTATCCACTTTCATCTGACTATAGTGTTGTAAAGCGGAATCAGTCTTGCCACAGGATATGTTTGTTTCAGTGTACTATTGGCTCTTTTTTCTCAGTTCACGTGAATATTTTTTCACCTTTGCAGGATAGATAGGATTTTTTCCAACTATTTTGGTTTCTGTCTAGGCGTTTTTTCACCTCAATATTTCATACCAACTTTATTACTATTACTCAGCATGTGCAAACAGTGTGTTCTTTAGGTTGTATTTATTGTAATTGAAACTGTTACTTCTTTCATCAAAAGGCAGCTATGAAAAACTGAATAGTTGGCCACAGAATCTATCGGTCTTCACTTTGTTTCTCCATCGAAATGTGAATGTCTTCTGTCTGAGAGTGTCTAACTAAAGTTGGAGAAAGCACTGTGTTTCATTATCCCGAATATTTTTCCCAAGTGACAATGATTACACTAAACTGGTAAATAATCTACCTTTTAGACGTTCAGTGTGAAGACAATAAATAAGTATGGACCATATGTTTCGAGTCAGATAATTTTTGTGATCTCTCAAAGACCAGTTTTCGCATTCACTGACTGGTTGATTTGACGTCTCACAACTTGTACTGTATTTTAGTATCATGTATTATTCTCTGTCATCAAAGAACATTTAGTTATTCACCGAAATCTGATGTTTGAATAAAATAGCAGTAACTTCGTACATTTATTCCCCTTAATGAATTTGAATAAGGCAAGAACAACAGTTTTTGCAGAATAAAATGGTACCATCATTTATTTCCTTGGCTTCTCATCAGCTGCCCACAGTCCAAAGATATTATTCAGTAACAGAAACAATTTTTACATACTTGAACAGATATAAGTATGTAAAAATTGTTTCTGTAGATAGACTTAATGATGTCTTTGGACTGTGGGCAGCTGATAAGAAGCCAAAGAAATAAATGTTGGTACCATTTTATTCTTCAAAATCTGTTGTTCTTGCTTCATTCAGATTAAAATATCAGTCATCGACATTTGAAACAATGTGCACCAACAGAATCAGATATAATCGAGGTGAATGTAAGTACAATAATAATAATAATGATACTAATAATAATACTAATCGGGATAGTTATTCCAGGTTGATGTTGAAGGACATGGGAAGGAAGGGGTTCGAACACTTTTTTCTGAACACAGACTGGGCTAAAAATTCTGTTTTACAGCAAATGCTTCAGTTATGCTTAGAGGTCGAAGGTGTATGAAATTAGGGGATTGAGGTGGTACCTTGTATATAACTGTAAAGGCTGAACTTTTATCAATCTTGTGCTCTGTATCCATGGTGTATCAATGTGGAACCCCCGATTAACTTCACTATTCCCTTACGTAACCATGCTGGATGATGCTCTATACAAATCCCCATTAAGACATTTAGAAAACAGAAAGATTGAGCGAATAAATATTTAACTTTTAATTAGATCCTCATCCCTGGCTCTACTCTAATATATTACCATAACATTATTTTTAGTACAGTACACAACAATTTACCAATCAAGTAGCAATATGTTTGTTAACAATAATTAGTCATAGATTACTTAATCCATGTGTTGCAACCATTACTACCTTTCAACTGTGTGTAATTAATTTTCTTCGTTAACTGTCACCCCATTGACATGTTAATACTGACTAATTACTGTTAACAAACATATCAGTGCCACTTGATTGGTAAATTGTTGTGTATTATAATAAAAATAATGCTATGAATATATATTAGAGTTGAGTCAGAGATGAGGATCTAATTGGAAAATAAATATTTTTTTGCTCAATCTTTCTGTTTTCTAAATGCTCTAGAAGACGACGGTAGGCTATCTGAGTCGTTCTGCTTACGTGATAGTCTCCACAAGAAAAGTTGAACTCATAAATGCACACTGATATGGCTAGCTTGGCAGCCTATCCTTCACCTGCCCAATCTTTGTATTCAGAAAAAGTCTGTTCAGTTCTTGTCTCTCCTATGGCCTTCAACCCCGACTTAGAACAGTTATCTCGGTTATTATAATAATTATTATTGTCCTAATTACATTCTCTTTGGTTATGTTTAATTCTATTGAACCACGTTGACTTTCAAATGTTTATGACTGGTATTTTGTTATGTAATTGTAAAGCCAGATGAGAATTTACTGAAAATACGTATTTCCCTGCCTGAATCGTGTTCCGCAAATATCTTAGTCGGTGAAAGAAAATCTTTGATAGTTTCCACTAAATTATCATTATTTGACAGCAGTAATTTTATAGCTTATAAATTTAAAGTGTGACTTGTCTTTTTTTGTTTCATTGTTAGATTTATTAACAAATGCACAATTGTTATTCAAAAAACTTGGAGAGGATATTTAGGCCGTAAACACTATCGACTTGTATTGTCTGAAGCTGTTGTCAGATTTCGTAGAAATAAATTTAGTACAGCTGCAGCTAAAGTAAGTTTGGAAAGATAATTAGGATAATAACAACTGATGTTATTAATTTCCTGCAGATTCAAAGTGCGTGGAAGGGTTATCTAACTCGGAAATATGTATTCAACTTTTATTCACGTAAAGTTTATCTATCAGCTTTAGTTGATGTTGGAGAGTTTGTTAAGTATGTTCCACTTATGCAGTGATAATATAAGCTCATTATTTTCTCAATAATCAAAAGGAGTCAATTAAGTGAATATGAAAAAGAAATGAAACAATTAAAAGTCAATGAGAAAGAAGAGAATGAACGGAAAAGAATACTTAATTGGGCAAAATCCCATCATTTCCTAATTTCCACATATTGTCAACCAGGAATATATCAACAAAGTGATAAAGTGTATGTGTTCAGCTCATTTGTGTTAGCTTATTTTTCTTTAATGTATTTCTTTTCAGTGGCACATCCTTCACTGAATAATTTACTATAATGATGTGTATGTTTTCTAAGGATTTTTAAATTATAATCGTTTAGCGCACTTCAAAGCGACCAAATGACAAGACAACAGCAATTTGAACACTTCATGAATTGATGATTTCAGTGTCTCAGATGATGGTGATGATGACGAACTTTCAAATGCGATGATTAGACATCGTGAGTAATCACATGATTAAGGATAATTTTATGTACCATGAAGCAGCCAACTGTAAGATGAAACACATAAATCCGCATTGTCATGACATATCAGTCAGTATACTCTGTCTTAGCGATTTATACAGAAACGGAATGTGATGCATATTACTGTTTGTTGGATATTGGGATTGACTAATAATGCGCACTGGTAAGGTTGGCGCTAGACGATTTGCTCTTCCTAGGATGAACTGTCCTCGGTTTGATTCTGAGTGTATCAGCTGGCTTTGTTGGCCTGCCAAAACTGTTACTGTTATTGTCTCCTTGAATTTCGAGTGGAACATGTGGGTTCAACAGCACACTTTCACTTCGTACTATCTCCTGCGGTCGTCTTCAGCTAGTCCTACGGTTGCCCACACTACCTTATCTCATCTATGTCACCCTCGAACGCCCCACTCTTCTTTTCTTATTCGTCGGGTTCGACTCGAGCTATGGTCTGGCACATGATATCATTCATCAGTCTCCTCTGATCAATTTCCACTTTCTTTTAAATAATTTCTGAGCAGTAAGTTCTTGGAGGGTTTGTTCCTTGGGTTTCTTTTTGATAATTCTTTCTGGCCAGATGGCTATGGAGCCAGTGAAGACAGCTGTTTATGAAAGTCTGAAGTAACCTGTTTGAAATACTTTTTATAATGAATCCTCCAAGTTTCTAACCCATATGGAAGAATTGACTGACTTAAAACTGGCGTTGAAAATCTAAATCTTGTTGTTTAAGCAGAGGCGGAGTGCAAAAGATTTCCAAAGTGAATTCAGACTGATATACGCCTGTCTTGCAGAAAGTAACTTGACTCTAATTCATTCATCCCAGACAGCCAAGACCGAATATTCTGCTAATAAGCTAAGCTGTGTACCAGTTAAACAGATATGCAGTGTTTAAATGAATCTTCATTCAGCAAAACAAGTACTATTGTGGGTAATTTACAGCTACTCATATAAATATGTTTTCTCCTTTTTTGAAATTCATTTTTGGTGTTAGGTACATCATATATTGTGATCTTAATAATTTCAGTTTTCAGAAGAAGTCAGTGTGATATTTCACTTCAAACTATGCAGTTACCAAAGAGTAGTGGGGTGTGCTACTGAAAAGATTGATTTATAGTACACAGTTACAGGTTGATAGGAAGCAGCTGAAATTGAAATCGACATTTTAAGTCTATGGCTGTAGAGGTGGAAGAATTTATTCTTCATATATGGATTTAATGTACATTTTGTGCATGAGATAACTTCATTGGATAACTTTTCGTCCCACAGTTTAATCTTGAGCCAGTTGCCAACCAATCGGAACACTTTATTATCCTCTGACCTAGCCGTAGTTAAAAAACGTAAAAAATTTCATGTGTTTTTCCTCAATAAAAAGTCCGTTACCAGTTCTCTTATTTTTTGCTGTTATATTGTCAATATATTCTATTTGAATGGTGTAACAATTAATTCATAGCGCCTGTAATTTAACAAAAACTTAGCGAAATCTTATTAGTCTATTGAAATCTTTACTAGTAGTGAGTAATGTAGTGATTAATTTTCACGTTGTTTTATATTGGATTAGGCCTAGTGATAAGGAAAAGCTTCTATTATCAGTTCGTCAAGAATTGATAAAAGAAAATAAGAAGATACCACGAACTGTCGGGAGTACTGGAATATCAGCTTCGTCGTCATCGTCGAAAAATGATTCATCTTGTCTTACTGGAAAACAGATAAATAAACCTGTAAAAGTTAAAGGTCCATTCAGAAATCCTGAAGAAGTGAAAAAGTGGATAAATACACCGTTAAATCTATCCTTACGCGTGACAACAGATTACTTTTCACTGGAAAAAGCTCAACAATCTTGGAAGTCTGAGGAATGGAGAAACAGATTACACGATGATAAGTGAGTTGTTTTTGGTTAATTAGTGTTTGGTATAATTTGAAACGAGTTTAATTAACAGATATCTAACGATATACGAAAATTTGTAGAAATGTTTCATAGTTTTTCTTTTCTTAAGAATTCACTATTCTGCATTTTTTGGAACTTGATTTCATTTTCACATTGTGAAGAGATGAATTCTCTGAAAAAAGCGTTTTTCATGTTTGCAAAGAAAACCGAAGATCGTGGATGTAATCGAACAAGAGTTGATATATACTGGAGAATACAGTTAAGAAACTAAATGCTATGATAGAATTAATACAGTTTCATAGGAGGTATATTGAAAGAAAGAAGACTGGTGACAGCAGATCTCATCTTTAATGGGACAAAACATAATGGAGATTAGGAAAACCACTCACCGTACTCTGATTTCATAATTTGCCAGTAATATAACCTATTCTCTGTTTTCGGCATTCTCTGTTCGTGGTTGCCTGTCGGAGAGAGAAAAATTACTCGCTCATGACGTCGACTGGCGGTTGCTGTGTATTTATCGTCAACTGGCAGAAGGTGGAATTCGCGAGTCATGGGTCTAGATCCCAGTGGCTCAGTGGTTTGCGATGTCGTCTTGTTACCGGAATGTCCTGGGTTCGAACCCCAGCGGGTGCGTACTACTGATGAGTCCCGAAATAGGACGAAATAGTTGTTCCTCAATTCAAGATTTTCCAGTGATTCTGTACTTGGTGTCACCTTGTAGTCTAACCTGTAACCAAACAGATCCCTGCAAACCAACTTGTTGTATTTTTCCCCGTGTTGTAACCTACTTCTTTCTTTTCTTTATATATGGCATTTTCATCGACGCATAAGCTAACAACACTTCTTGAAGCATATTATTCTATGTACTGCTTATATGCATTTATATGCAACACACATAAAACTACCGTGCAATTATTGATGAAAGGGTGACTAGTACTTTCGTTGAAGTTGTTAAAATAGGCATCAGAAAAGAATTAAAAGCAAATAAGATTTATGAAATTAGCCCAACTTCGGTTGAAATCAGAGATAAATTATTTTTTCAGTCGGACAAAATGATTCAGAAATAAGTAATCTAAATAGATTAGCTAACTGTCCACCATAAACTTTTGCTCATAAGGGCATTAGTCAAAGCCAGCATACCTCAGAATAACGTACAAGGTAAAGAAACAGAAACAGGGAATGAATGATATTACAACAGTTCAAACATCAATATGCTAGAGAGTAAATTTAAGATGAGTGAGGACTCCCAGTAGCTGAAAGATGACAGAATGTGACAAAAATCTGTGATGTCGAGAGTTAATATAGTCATTTTACTATATGTCTCCAGAAATTTATTCTTATAATCCTAACAGTCTCAAACTGACAGTCTATAGCTCCCTATGTGTTCAGTGGCTTTAAGGATTCATCTTATATTTTGATTTAGTCATTTTTAAGTTGATTTAAAAAAAATTTGAACTTAATCCTACTGCAGTGGAACTATGTTGGACTGTCTGAAAGATTCTATCAATTATTCATTTCACATTCTGTTCCGGGTTTACAGTCATACATCTTTGGTAGGGCACTAGGTTGTAAGTAACTACTGTCATGCGTCTAGTCCTACGTTTGGTACAGAGTGAATTCTGTTGGTCAAGTTTGCAATGTAGCTATCAGGCTAGTTGGCTACCCAACACGGTGCACTCAGAATCGTTGTCATTAAACCGTTGGAGGCTATTAGCAGGAATCCCTGGACCTAGGCTTCGTTCTTGCTGACACGGGTCAGAAAGGCTTACTTTCAGTTACAAGGGAGTTCATGCCACTTGTGAGATTCAAACCGGGTTCATCCACTGGTGACTAGTCACCTGATATTAGTTCTACGAGGTATCCAATCAAAGTGTCCATTTGAGTCATTCAGGAGGTGAGTCGCAAACGTGAATAGCTCAGTGGCAAAGCTTCTGTCTGCAGCACTGAATAACCTGGGTATGAATCTCAGAAGGGAAACGAGTTCCTTCAAGACTGCAGATAATCCTTGCTGACGAGTGCCAATAAGCACAAAATCTAGGTGCAAGGTCTTCTCTCAGTTGCTTCCTACTATGTTCCAACAATTACAGTAGAATTTCAGTCAGTAGTTATCAGGAAAAATAGTCTTTTCTTAATCATATGGGAATTTTCAACTGAAGAAGGAAAATAACGATTATTTTGAGTTTTTAGTCACTAAATTCACCCAGTTGTCGAAATTCTTCCAGCTAAACTCTAATCAAAGTTCATTTCCCCTCGACAGTAGTTCAGCAGAAGATACATGAGACAATCTGGTATAAGGGTGGAACAATAAAGGCTGGAGGTAAAAACGCATAGTACGGAGAAAAGTCAAAAGTTTATAGGGAAGTTAATGTTTATATATATATATATATATATATATGATCAGTGTAAACAGTGAAATTAGTTCTAAATAGTAAAAGTCCACTTAATCCATTGCACCTAAGTTCATAGGCTATACAGGTAGGATACTGTCGAGATATCCACAAAAATATTTTCCAATAGGGTTGTCAAAATATGAAATTACAGTAAACAGTCCCTCAATTCTTGAGTACCTTATTGTCACACAATCTTTGAAAGTGCTATTTGTAGCATCACCGAATCGGTCGTGAAGTTCCCGGCTACATACATTGAATCTCTTTATCTTATGAACACTATTCCTCTTCTCAAAGGCTTACAGTTTACAGTCATCCGTGAATGTTATGTGCCAACTAATGTTTCGTATGTAACTGAACATGTCGCATTATCAAATCGTATTAATAATTGACTCCTACTAACATTATTTATGATCTTGGAGAGACACTATTTAGCTGAACAGCTTCGATGTGGAGTTTTGGGAAGAATATTTTTTGATGTCAGATGATTGAAGTTAAATGGCAGGAAGCCTTGGACTAGGTTCCGTGTTTTTTGACACTAGGAAGCAAGGTGTATCTGCAGTCTTCAACGAACTCATATCGCTTCTGAGATTCGTTCACGAATAATGCTGTGCCGCAGTCAGAGATGTTACCGCTGAGCTATTCGGGCTTGTACTTAACCTCCTGTATGACTGTTATGAATACTTTGATACTTTGACGTACAAAATTTGTTTCGCTGGCCTATAAAGTCTTTAAAGTATTGATTAGCAGATTTGTAACAATCAAATGATCTCTGTAGGATTTATTACTTGTTCTTATGTATTATGCTTTTCACATAAATATATAACATTTTTTATGTGTGATTGTTCCCACCTTTTTCTTATCTAATCTCACATCTCAAAAAAAACTAGATTTCATGCCGGAGTTGTGCCCTCACTACCTTACGAACGATTGTTATGGTCTGAGTCAGTTTATGGACCAATTCCATATGGTACAAAACACTTTCGAAAATCAGAGGAGGAAAGTGCACTGAATTCAAAGAAGTGCAAACCCATACGATTTCGTAATGCATTACCATCGATTGGATTATTCGATAAATTTAATAAGGAGTATATACCAGGCTATGCAACAGGTTGAAAAAGGACTTGAAAAAAAATTTGTAAAACATGAATTTCTATCCCAGTTTTGTCGAAATAATGGAGGAATATTAGATTTAAAAAGAAATATATTGTTATTATTATAAATTCATTCGTTCTGCTGCTGCTGCTAACTCATTCAAACTGAAATTCGAAATACTGGTGCATTAACACAATGCAGCAAAACTACTCTTCGACTGAATCGAGTTTTAATTTTTAAAGGTTCACGTAAACGGTTCCAAGTAAGGATTGAATCTAACGTGATTTCAGTGGTAGCTCATACATAAGAGAAAACCAAAATAAATAAATAAATAAGGGTAATAACAAATGGTAAAAAGACGGTTGCTGTGAAGAAAATTTCCTTTTCGACGAAGTCACCAGCTAGGCTGTACATCCGTGCATTCGCAAAAAATAGGCAAGAAAGTTCTAGAACTATTTCCGGTTGAGGGTCAAGCTAATAAGACTTAAAAAATGGATTGAAATGTAACAATAACAAAACAAACAAGAAGATCGAATAAAAATTTAGTAGGATCATAAATGTGCGTCAGTGGCATAGCGGTTAGGACGCTCGCCAACCATGCAAATGGTTCGGGGTTCGATCACCGGCCGACTCACTCCTTTACCTCGCTAAGCCAGAAATAATGCTGGTAAAGAGGAAAGGTTGGGCATGAGGCTAGCAACCCCATCCTGTAAAATAAACAGTTTTACAGAAACTTGAAGCCACTAGCTTGAAGCCCTATGTTCCACTGGGGAGTGTGAAGGATAAAAAAAGGATCATAAATACTGAGAAAATTGACTTTTTGTGCAATTAGGGTTCAAAAGCGTGGTAATAACAAAATAGACAGGAAGTTCGGACGAAACAAATAGTAATGGCACTAAAGATTAAAACACGAAAAGTGAACAGAAATAAATAGGGAAATGAGATAAAAAAAGGTAGTAGGATAAACATTATTAAGAGAATTGACCCTATGTGATGGCTATGGTAGAGACAACGATTGAACGCATTTCTTTCGGCTACATGGCGTGGGCTTCGAATTTTGGGTCGTTTTTGCCTTAGTGATGCTCAGATACCTTGATCTCACTCCCTTTGATAGGTTTAATTGGCTTTTCTGTAAGACTTCGAAGGATTTTTCAAATGGAGCTGGACTTCCTGAGTTCCCCGGATGTTCTGTAGCCAAATTATAATCCCGAAACTTTCTCACCGTGTTACTACATGTACACAGATGTAAAGCCTAGTTGATGATTCCGTCGAAAAGAAAATTTTTTTCTCCGCAACAGTCTTAATATTTTCCATGATCTAAATTAAGGTTAGTGTGATTATAGAGACATTAAGATAAAAAGCTAGTGCAGAGTTCTGTTTATGCCAAGGAAGTTTAAATTTGAGGGAATATTAATGACCATACTAATGGAGAAGGTTTGTAGCTCAGGTGGGTGATATTGAATTAATTGTGTTTTCTGAGAGTTTAAATAATTCCATCTTATACTAAAACCTGCGTTGACTGTGTTGTCTAGAAGGACGACGAAAGCTTTGTAATTCAATCAACCATCTCAGACAACACAACCAATTCAACAATGAACGTACCAATAAAATATTCGGGTAAGAGAACAATAAGTGAAGTGTGGGTATGAATGGGAGTGAAAAAAGTGCTCTAATAATGTATATTCATCAAAGTGTGAGAGATAAGAGGATTCATTTGAATCTATAGCATTCAAGGTATAACTGATGGCTGTGTTAATAAATTTCTACCGAATACACACACACGCAATCCAAGATTTTTATTTCAGATATATACCAGTGAACACCAGTTAACTGTAAGGACCAAAATCGGTGTGCTGTGGTCTTAAAACTGGTAACTTATCTTTACGCTCTACTGTATGGCTGACCGAAAGCTTCTTGAGTTACTCATAGTCACAAAATACCCCGAAAACAGAGGGAAGACAGTTACTTCTAATGAAATCTGCGGTAATACTCAACAATCCTATTATATTCAAACGCTAAATTACCTTAACAGTGTCTTTAGGCAGCTATACAGATCCAATAATTTCTTAAGTACAAAACAAAAATTATTTAACCGAAATCTAACTATAAGAACTACCTTAGGATCCAGAAGGTTATTCCCAACAATGTGGGATCACAAATCTGTCAGTAACAATTAGACACCACAGACACTTCATGGTTAGAATCACTTTGACTCATTCAAACAAAATGGCAGTCGTAAAATAACACATCATCAATATTATCACAAAACCACAAAGAGAAGCATCAACATTAGAGACTGATCAGGAACAGACACAAATAATAAGGATTAAGTCGACATATATACGTCGGTCGCACAGCGGTAGAATGGTCGCCAGCCACACAGGTGGTTCGAGGTTCGATACCCGGCCAACGCACTCCCATATCTTGCTAAGTCAGTAATGAGACTGGTAATAAGGAAAGGTTGGGCATGAGGCTAGCAACCCCACCCAGTAAAATTAAATACCATTGCTACCGAAACTTCAAGCCTGTAGCTTGTAGCCCAGTGTCTCACTGGGAACGTAAGGGAATTAAAAGCAGAAAAAGTCAACATACGGTATGTAAACGTCGGGATGGTAATATGTAGCCTAGAAGACAAGAGGAAAATAACTACGCATTCAGTTAAAATACCCAAATAAGTATCACTATTGTAAATGGGTTGTTCAGGAGGCATTTTTCAAACAGTCAATCCTCTAAATTAATAGCCGATCAATATTTGTGATAACTGCATTGAAATGATGACCTGATGGTTAGAATTTGAATCGTACAGTTCAGCTTTTGCAACATGAAATCGGTAGTTCAGAAGCCTCTGGTTAAAGCCTTGCATTGATTCTGATTTTCATTCCAGGCTTTAATCGCTACCCATTACACACACATAGCAGGCTACTAATACAAGACTATGTCATTCTCATTATCGATTAATTACTTATTCTAATGAATTCTCACATTCATTCAACCCTTGAAGAAAGACTATATAAAGCCAGGTAATAGCAATATGAAATGTGAGCACAAAAGTACATCAGTTTAATTCCTGTAACACAAAAATGGATTGAATAAGGTATTTAAGATAAATCGACAGGATGCATTCAGATATCATTTTTCATTAATTTTAACTTAAATACTGTTTTGATGTAACTTATTTGATTGATATGCCTTGCTTAAATGTCAGACAGATTAACCGATGTGTGTTCAAAAGCCTAGTAATTTGTAATGCTATCGTATAAATTTAGTTTTAACCAGCTGACTAAAAACAGCTGATAATTATGACAACATGATGTTGAATATTGAATCGATTATACCCAGATTATAGAGTTCTTCAAATATTCAAACTAATTCATTAGAACTGTGATCAAGATTTGACCGGATAGTTGCAAAATAATTGAGCGCTGAGTGACAAGTAGATATTTATAAAGTTATACTTGTAAAATCTCAGCGAAATTGAAATGATTAATTCCAACGTTTCGTTCGGCAATCTGGTCCGAACTTCTTCAGGGAAATTAATCGAAATTAACATAACAAAGGTTTATATGTAAAGGGACACATCTTGTTTTTCAAAATTTTGTCCAATCATGAGTCATGCAACAGTTATCAATGTGTATAATAAATAAATAAATAGAATTGTATGTTTCACGATTTCATCATGAGCTGACATTAGTTAGAGAACCATTGGAAAACCTGGGAGTACTGGACAGCTGTTTCGTCCTAGTTTTGGACTCTTCATCAGTACGCACCCACCGGGATTCGAACCCAGGACCTTCCGGTTACAAGACGAGCTCGTATACAATTACTAATACCATAACTAATCAAATCCCTACAAACCAACACTTGAATACCAATAAGGTGCTCACTGGCGACTGGCCCTATTCAGGTAGGTAGTTACCTGGGTTCCAGTGGGAAGTCGTGAACAGTAGGGTGCAGTAGGTCGGGTGTGAGGACAAATATTCGCCGAAGACATTGGCTAGCGGTCGTGCTATATCGTGAATCGGCAGAAGTTAGAATTCAAGAACCATTGGATTGGGTCCCAGTGCCTTAATGGTATACGAGCTCCCCTTGTAACCGCAACGTCCTGGGTTCGAATCCCAGTGGGTGCGTACTGATGAAGAGTCCCAAACTAGGAGAAAACAGCTATCCAGTACTCCCAGGTTTTCCAATGGTTCTCAAACTAATGTCAGCTCATGATCGAATCGTGAAACTAATCGAATCCCCACAAACCAACACTTGAATAAAATTGTATGTTTCTAAAAAAGTACATCTCTTATTTTTAAATATGAATCAATAGGTATACTAAACAAAACAAAACAAAAATTGTATGAACTATGATCAAAAACTTTTTGACCTCAGACTTTCAAAATTTGTCTACTTTTATTGAATTGAATTTTTGATTTTCCCGTCGATTGTGGGAACGTCATCACTCACTGAGAAATGCAGGTACATCCAGCTGATGAGTCCCAAATAGGACGAAATGCGCATCCTGGATTCCACTGCTAGCCACCATCCACCAATTATTTGTCTACTTTTGTTAAAATATATGTGTGTATGCAGTATATGCAGGATACAATGGTGTGTGTGTGTGTGTGTGGGTGTGTGGGTGGAACAGTCATAAAACATTTGCTATTCTCATATGAGCTGTGATCAAGATTTGACCGGATAGTTACAAAATAATTGACATTTTTATAAATATAATTTAATTTTTATAGATTTGTTATTCTCTCCATATGAAGACGTAGACAATCGGGAATTTGACCAAGTGTGACTACTTGATCATACATATCAAATTTTATTTTGTTTATTAGTCAGGATTTGCCATGCATCGGCTAACATCACACCTTCACGTCTGTTTAAACTGTTGGGATTCACCCATATATGTAGGGCTTCTGCAGTTAGTCTTTCTTGATATGAACCAAAACCTTTCTGTAAAACCTTAGTCTTATCAAAGTCGATTTTGTGTCCCGTTTCTATTGAATGTAGTGCAATCGCTGAGTTGTTTTCTAGCTTCTTCAAGTCTGCAGAGCTCTTTGGAACCACCTTTAGACATTGTTTATGCTCTTTCATTCTTATATTTACCTGTCTAGAAGTTTCTCCTACATATACT